GGGGGGGGGGTCCATGAGAATGTTACAGAATATTATGAGGGATCAGCTATCGTGACACAAAAATAGTCCCTGCCCCTCCCCCTCCACCTCTCCCGGACCATTTGAGCCTCCTTATCGGGCGTCAAATGATGAGCGGCGTAATGCTAAAGAAAGGATGAAGATACGGTTCATATCACTCACCTACAAAATTTCATAAATGTAGTAAGTATGAGCCTTCCCAACTGCATGTTCATAGCACTGTGTAAGGACGGTCTTGAAATGGGAGCTCGGCATCTTACCGACCCAACATTCACCATAGAATTTCACTCCAAACACCTTGTAATTTGTGCGTTCAACGACCTCACGGTAGCACTTTTCCACTACAGTTTCTATTGCGTTCCATTTGATGCCACCGGTACGGAAATTGTGTTCCAGAAGTGGCAGGAGGCGCTTATGTGTATTTTCTCTGTAACAACCCAGTGATCTGTATTTTTGAACTGGAAGAACTGTAAGGAAGAAGAATTGCATAAGTAACTTACGGATATTAGTCGCCATATTGCTAGTGTCTTTTTGTTAAGAGCGTACGCTCTCATCGGTTACTTTAGGGTCACATAGCATCAACAGTGGCGGATGATGGAGAATCTTGGAGAGAGCGAGAAAGGGAGTTGGTTCACCAGAAGGAGAAGAGAGCGATGATAACAATAATGACTAAATGGTAGGAGTTTAGCGGCTTATTGCAGCTGGAGCTTAAATCAGTTTCTCAGCACGGAAAGAAGAGAAGAATTATAATATTGAATACTGTGGTCTGATCTGGTCTGATCGCTGGAGTGAGAATATTATCGGTAGCAGTGAGTGACGACTCGGTAACTTTGGCAGACATGATGGTCATTATCTGAGTTAACTGACGAACTGTAGGTTAAGGAACAAACTGTGGGAAAAGAGTGCTTTAACCATCAGCCAAACAGATATAATCCCGCTCCTCTGACCCAAGCCCGATCAGAGGTCCAACGCACCAGTCGGTGGGGCACTCTACTTCTTAGGCTTACAAAAAAAAAACAAAAAACAAAAAGCAAACAAAACAAGAAAGGAGAGAAAAACAGAGGAAATCAAACAATCATGACGAAGACGACCAAAAAAGAAGAAGAAGTCCAACCCCCCATTGACAGTTTGTGGGTTCATTGTTAAAAACGATTTTTCTATTTGTTATTTTCCAGTCAAAGTGAAAATTGATTGAACTGGTAGACAAAGGCAACGCAATCAAGGTAGGATATAACTTATCCGCCGGTCAAACCATATCCCCGATGAATGGTCGTAACTCAATTTAAATTTCAAGAGAGCTGACGATAAGTACGGGAATGACTAAAAAGTTCTGTTCAAAATCTTTAATATCTTAAGGGGTGCTATATCGCGATACTTCAAGTCGTTCAGAAAATATCGTTATGTTCTCTTAATTTAATAACATTAAAACTTTATAATATTAATTTTCTCAAGCGATCACGTCTTATGCTTGGTCTCTTTCATTTGTTTTGAAGCAGCAGTAGCAGGAGTGGGAGGGGCACGCGGGGAGAAAGGTGGCGTGGTGTCACTTCCGCTCTCTCCAGGCATCTCTCAAAAGGATTTTTAGCTGGCAATCAACGTGTTCGTCTTAGTGACTTCTTGATCCTGCCGACCATGGAAATTATGCACATGTGGCCTTTATTATTTTAAAAACGGTGACCATAGCAACTTTGACATAGGGTTTTTATATGATGTTTTTTTTTTACGACACTCTATGACGCATTTCGTTATGTATGAATTTCGCAGTGTTTCCGCTAAACGGATATGATCTAGAGGACGTCGTATGGGTCAAAAAGGCGATTAGATGTTCCGATATTAGGTTCTTTTTAGTTGATTCATTTAATTCACGATTTTAGGTGGTATTTAAGCTAATCACAAACGATCTCATTTAGACTAGAGATTTTTTTTTTTACGTGGTTTATTGACATGATACGACTCAGGATTTATATATATGCTATATGAAAGCGAAGGATAAAACACTGATATTTAGACTGTAAAAATTGAGTGTAGTTATTGTTTAACTTATTTACTTGTCAGATAATTGTAGTAAATATTGCATCTTGTTGTTCATCTCCAGCTTTAAACAATTGCCTCTCTGACATCGTCGCTTAGGTTTTCAACTCTTTAAACGTTAATGGTATCGCTGTCAATTAAAAATATCATCACATTTCTTCAGTGTCTTTAATATACTTCTTGGGATGTAACTGCTGGTGTTCATTTCCCCCCCCCCCTCCTCCCTTAAATAATGTATTTTGTGAACGTAAATGGTAACTTAATCATGACATGTTTTTTTCTATTTTTGCCAAAACGACAACAGGTGATATCATATTTGTTATGAATAATAATTGTTGAGAGTTGTTTAATTTTTTCATGTAAATAAACAAAGATAAAGGGACTTGAACACACTTCCCGAATGTGTGGATTAACAAAAAGTCACACATTCGGCGAATCCTCGTGCAATATTTCAATTTCTACATTCAGCAAAGGAGTTTGTATATCAGTTAAATCACTCACATAGACACAGTACATAGTGACTGAATATGTTTTACATTTGATTTGTCAAAAGGGTAGTTTAAATGTTATTTCCACAACTTGAGATGAGAATTTATTGGCTTTCATTAGTATGCTAAGGACAAAAGAAAAAAAAAACCCTACATCCATAGGCTGCGAGGTTACATGGCGGAGTTAACTTTTATAGTGGTCTGGTGAGTGTTGCTGATGAAGGGCGAACACAACCAAAAATGTAAATTTAATTTTGATCCTCGAAATTAAATTTGACCAGTGACGTCCGGTGATATGAAAATAAGATAGGTAGAAACTTTTTCTTACCAATTATGGCTGAATTTCGGACAAACATGCAGTCGGTTCTCATGCGCCCTTACCAGAGCAGGAAATATCCTCGTTGCACTTCTCTTTTACTGGCGGTTTGACGGAGTATCGGCAGAAGCCTTCTGACAATGGGTGGTAGTTTCCATCACCGAGCGGCCTCCCGCAGCTTAAATTGCGTTTCATAATGCCACCTATGCAGGTCTTTGAACACTAAAAGTAAACGAGGTAATAAAGAAAAATTTTTTTGGCAATCCTCAGATGGAATTCTTACGGGACCGCTCATCATTTACCCCTGTGGAGGGAGGGGAGGGGAGGGGATGAAGGACTTAATGGAATGAATAATGAATAATGAATAATGAATAATGAATAATGAATAATGAATAATGAATAATGCTGTGCTTGCCCGATGCTGTATGCGTTGGTATTAGGTAATTTGTTCGCCGTAAGCTTTTTGTATCATAATAGTTCGAAAAGTTTCCGTCTCCGACTCTCTTGGATCGTGTGTGTCGAATAATAACTTCAGTAAAACATTGTGACGATGTTCCGGAACGATGAGACCATAACTTGGAACGAAATGACCATGAAAGAAGTGACTGAATATCCTTTCTCTAGGTCGCCTCATACACTAATAATCTTGGGTGACCATTCTTGGTTATGAAAATAACAACCGTGAGTTGAAAAGATCTTTAGGTTTGGGTGACGAGTGACGCAGTAAGATCGCGCCGGGAGATCTATCCGGCAGCTTGCCATGAGAAGCAGGTTTCCCTCTTTACCTTTCCCCACTTAGATGGAATCCATTCCGGTCCGCACGCCTCCTTAAAACAAGGTTTAATTAGTGGTGTTGGCTTAGGTGCCTTGCAGCTGCTCCAATCCAGTTTCTTGTATCCTCCAGGGTTCTTGTACTTCTTTCTGCAAGACAGGCTACGTTTCGCTACACCATGTCCACAGGTTTTGGAACAGGAGCTCCATCCAGTCACGTGCCATCTGTTTAAATTAGTGGATGAAATAGGTTTTTAACAAAGAATAGATTCTTAAAGGGGGCGCGGCCTTACGTCAAACTTGATCTGCCTTGATCCGGCAGGAAACAACCGTAAAGCTCGGAGGTAAGATATAAGAAATTGTCGTGTAACGAGCGTGGGGAAAAAAATCAAATTCTACCAAGAAGAAATTAACCCGATACACAACCACTGGGTTACAGGGTACCCAGTGAGCCACGCTACTATCTGGTATGTATGTGACACGCCCTCTGAATACTGCCAGCAATGTAGGAAGTATCGTGTCAGTATATTTTGGACTAATACGTGAAACATTTTTATTCAACTTCAAATTAAACTTTTATCATAGTTCGTGTCTCGACTTGTTTTCGCTAGTGCCACATGAAAACTGATGCTTATCTTTCCAGTACAGAAGGTTGAAGCTTACTATTTCATTTCCTACTCACTCTGTTGGACACTCTTCTGTGTTACACGGCATCTCATCTTCGGGTTTCTCAAGTCCTCCCTTCTCACAGACACTGTCTGCAACAGCTGATTTGTCATCCTTCCTCATGCACTTCACTCTCCGCGTTTTCTTTCCTGTAAAAGAAAGAGATCGTCACGATTGGCTAGAAACCACTCTTTAATGTGAAGTAATTTCATGTTTTCACACAGGTCCTTCACATAAAAGAATGGTGCTCTATAAGTGCCATGCTATATAAAAGCAAAAAAGTGGATATTGGTTCAAAAGTTATAATTACGCATCTAGTGATGTCAAAACTGCGGATCCTATGTTATATCTAGGGATCCAAAGTTAGAACTAGATACTGATATTGATCCCTATTGGATCAATATCAGTGTCTGGGCAACTACCCACCTACCCCTCCCCTAACCCAGCATTAGCCCTAACATGTTATCAATTGACTGTTGTTGAGTTAGGGGAGGGGTAGGTGGGCAGTTGCCCAGATACTGATATTGATCCGAACTATCTATCAAAATTTTGTATTACATGCTGTTATAGTTTTAGATCCGTGGTTATAACTACATCCATGGTTATTCATCTGAATCAGTAGTATTAACTATGGATTCGTAGTTATGAATGAGATCCTTAGCAGTAACTTTGGATTCGTAATCATAACTTTGGATTCGTGGTTATAACCTTAATCTTTCCTTTTAACCTTAATACCAAAATCCACTCTTTTCTTTCATCAAGAATGGCACTTACAGGCCACCGTACTAATAATTTAGAACGTTACGTTACGTTAATTTATTTTAATAATAATTTACCTCCGGCGCAGGTCTCGGAGCAGGCTGACCAGCCATATTTCTCGTCGACAACCCATTCGACATCGGCTCCAGTAACCTCTGATTTATAGGGACTCAAGTATCTGCATTCAACTCCTTTGTTTTTTTGACCGTTGAGTATAAACTTAAAAAAAAAAAGATATATATATATATATATATATATATATATATGTATGTATATATATTTACGTTTTTAAAGGTCATTCAGCTCATGATGATAAAAGCGAAACTTCTAGAAAAACTTCGTACTAACCGAGTTTGAGAGTCGCACGGGGGATTATTGGCCCGAGGTCATGGCAGCATGGACTGAGCATAGCGAGATCCTCACAAAAAGGACCGAGGGCCAGTATTCCCCAGTCGAGCAAGCGAGAATAGTCAGAAGTTTATAATGCGGTACTCGAACCAAACTTCTTTATTTTGAATTTGCCGACTTCTGCGGATAAAAATACGAGGCTTATGATCGTTCCCGTGGAGACGGTCCGTATGGCAAAATCTCGACCAGGAAAAAAACAATCAGGACGTTTGGAATTACCTCAGAACTACTTTCCCATATGATAAACTTAAGTATAATTTTTTTTACCATAAAACGCAGAGGTGTGTTTATTGGGCCAGGAATGTGAATATATTCCTTTCCACTACGTTTTCCATAGGTAATAGTGCTTCCAGCTGCATTGATTGTTTGCGTTTGTTTTGGTACGGGCTCAAACAAATACTTTTTTTTCATGTTCTGTACACCTAGAAAATAATAGAAAATGATGTTAAAAATATAATTGAGGTGGAGGAGAATAGTAAAGAATCACAATAACATAAATATTTTGGAAATATTTCACGAGAAAAGGGAGCAAAGAGATTTGATCAACTCTTAGAAAGCATTACATAAATAAATAAATAAATAAATAACGTACGCTCTTGCCTATCATTAACGCTCTAATTTTAGTAAGCCTTTTTATTGTTCAAACCTATGGATCAATACATCTAAACCTTACATAAATAAATTACAAGCCATTCAGAATTTTCGCCGCTCGTATTGTGACCGGCACGGATCAACCCAACTATATTTAAGAACAGCTATCATGGCCTTTAAGTGCCTGACAGGCCGTGTGCCAGAGTATCTGCTATCTCAGTTAATAACGCGAATAGAAGCAAGCGTACTACCAGGAATTCGCAAAAGCTGAACATTCCACTTTTCAAGGCAGCTAACGGACAAGGAACCTTTTATTACAGAATAGTTATTAAATGGAACTCGTTGCATAGTTCTCTTAAAACTATTAATTCAATGCCTATTTTTAAGTATAGCCCTAAACATGAACTTCTTGAAGATTTTATAGATTCTTAGTGATACTCCTTTAAATTAGCGTTATATTGTTGTCATCAATTAGGAGTGAAAAATAGTTATACCTTTTAATAATAATTAATTGTAGTTAATAATAGTTATTTATTTTTAATTGTAGTAGTAGTTATTGTATTTGAAAAGCCCCTTCGGGGAAAGTCAATAAAGGATGTATATCTGTATGTATGCATTATTATCCTTGACCCTCTTTTAATGTCAGGTAAAAGCTGCATTTTCCTGGCGGTTCATCGTTAAACTGGTGACTAAGGAAGATATTGATGGTGGTAAAAAACTGAAAAAGTTAATATTATGATAATAATCGTGCTCCAGGAATGTGAGAACAATAAAGAAATTTCACTTGTTTCGATTACACCAGTATCTCTCATTACTTTAGTACCTCTCTAGATTTATTTAGGATACCTTCCCCTAAAAGATTCGTCATTTGAAAGAAAAGGCCAAAAGATTATACAAAAATTACCAAAAAAAAAGAAAAAGGAAAAAAATAGTAGGCTAAAAACTCTATGTTTTTGTGGAAAAAGCAGTTAAAACCGGTTAAACCGGGCCAGGAGACCACCTTGCCCAACTTGGTGGGCAACTATCTCACCTATGTTGTTTTTGTCAACAGCCATCTCGAAAACCCAAATCTCTTTAGACCTTTTTGGGATCCAACAAGCTAATGCCGCATTTTCAGGTCCTGTGTTTATGAAAATTAAAAGAAAGGTGAGTTCTTTAAGTAGTCATAAATAACTAGACGATGAAAGACGTTCAATGCTCTTATTTAGCTGGTTTTTCCCTAAAGAAACAGATGGCTATGGCGTGCCTTAATACAGCTCTTTACGTAGCGAAAATACCTTCGAGAAAATCAAGATTTTTCCAAGTCATAGAGATTCTAACTATTTTTGTTAGTCATGATGATGGGATAATTAAAAATTACTTAAAAACTTTTGGAACGAACGTTTTACCCTTTTTTTCCCAATAAGTGGTGAATTGTTTTTTTACTGCTCTACATGAGGTGCTATCTCCATTACAAACTCCACAACGATCAACCGCACTTTGAGATCCAACCACGTCGTCACAACCAACGGGCTGTAAGAGAAAACTATTATGCTGAGTATTTAAGGCATATTGTAGCTTTTCTTACGAAGCATATTCCATTTCTTATCAGTGTACTAGTGGGAGTTTAATAGCCGATCAAATGTTTGTGCGTGTCCCAGGTCTGCTCAAAAGCTCCAAGTACTATCTGTCACCATGGCCCATCCCTATGATCAGATACAAGAGGAAGCTGTTCCGCGTCAGAACGAAGCTATTTGTGACTAAACGTTTTACTCCCACCGACGACTTATCTTTGAGAGACAACGATAAAACCTGAAATAAGTGTGTGTGGCTGTAACCCCTGCGTTTCGAAAGGGATTGAAATAGTGTTTTAAGTAACTACTTATTTTCATGAAGAAGCCTAGGATAGTAGAGCTTTCTTAGCAAGGTTTATCTAGGGCAAGGTGAGGAGAATCATACAAAGCATCTGATTGGACAGGTAAATGACTCAGTCCTGTACTCCTTTTAGAGGTTTTTTTTTCTTTTTAGACGGTCTAACTTTCTCTCTTTGGGAATGATGGGTTGAGCAAATCTTACGAAAGGTCCTGATAAACCTGAATGCTTCTATGCGTTCAAATTGGGAAAGATACAAATTTTTAAGACTCGAAGGAGGGAAGAGGACAGCAAGCGGTATCTAGCTGGTATTGTAGAAATGATCCTACATTGCATTTTCCTTCAATGCACATATCCCGGCTTTTTGATGCACCATTTTCGCATCTTGTTCCATCTTTTACAAGGCCTCGTGGTGAATATGACCATCCGTGGCGGCAAAATAATTTGCATGCCTCTAAAAGAAGAAGAGAATGTATTAAAGATACTCCTCTGAGGTTCGTCAATTCCAAAACCTTCCCCAAACAGCCCTTTTCCTTAAGAAAAACTGAACTGAATTTGATGGGTGTCATATCACTTGTTCCTGAGGCTTGTGGTATTATTGTCTCCGTGTGCAAGAGTTTTCACATTTCAATATTAATATTACACTGTACCACTCTGATTTCCATGTACTTACCGGCTCCTCCCCTGTAGAATATCGTATATTGTTTATTTATAGCGTGGCACTGAGCAAGTCGGAAGTCCATTGCACCTGAAGGACATGGCACCTGTAGAAAAATCGTAACAATCAGTTAGCTCTTTACGGTGATCTTGAATTAAAGGTATCAAGGGTATGGCCAGTTATTCCGGGCTACACAACATGAAATGAGTAGGTCTCAGTCAAAAAACCTTCCCCCCCCCTCCCGTAATTCCTGCCTTTCCTCGTCAACAGTGCAGGGACATGAACGAGTGTAAGTAAATCATTGGCTACCATATAGCTAAGAGAGTGACTATACTGAAAAGACGGTACAGAATCCGGAGGTAAGTTCCCATCAACCAATATGTTCAACTACATCGTCAAATGACTTTCAATTCACCAAAGGTTTCGTTACCTTTCTTTTGCAGACCTTTGGATATCCTCGATTCTCTCCTATGCAGTCTTTTCCTCCATTTTGGGGGCTTTTTAACGAGAGATATAGACAAGTCAATAATTTTTTCTAAAAGGAGGCGTGGTTAGGCGTTACATGTGACGCAAATGGCACAAGAATATCAAGAATTGGTTATTTTTCAAGTACTTCTCGTGGAAAAAGACATCATACAAAACAATTTTAAGCTTTTTGTTAGACAACGGCCGACTAATGATAAGAAGAGCTAAAAAATACGACCGAATTTTTGGAATTATATTAGAAAACAGCTAGCAGCTGAAAACCATATACTCCACTCTAGATTGAAATGCCACATCTACGTATACTACTAAGCTTGCTTGACGTGTCCTATTTTCCTTTTCAATCTACCTTTTACCTCGGTGGAGGTGGGGGGGTGAGTTTTTTAATTATATATTTTTCAATTTTTAACACACGCGGAGTTTCGTCAAACTCGATGTTTGCTAGTAAAGGAACAATTTTTCGCTGCTTTCAAGACTTTCCGCCTAAAGAGGTCTGATTAGTATGTAATATGGTCTTTTCTTGACTCGAACGAGAAATCAAGAAACTTGAGACTTACCGTGGATTTGTACAGGTTCGTGTTTTGAAGTAGACTCCTCCTCCACATGTGCGGGAACAAGTAGACGGATCATAGTTACTCCATTCACTCCAACCACCATCTACAACTTCTGAACCGTCGAAAACACATTCACCAGCTATACACCACTAGGAACGAAAATTAAAAGTTTGTTGATCAAAATTACCTGAATAGATAGTTCACTTTAATTGGTTTTTATCCAAAAATAATCGACAATCGCGCACGCTGATCATTTGCCAATCACCCTCGTCGGTGACAGTGACTGACACTTTGAAAAATTAAGGGATAGTCTTTATTAAAGTCAACTGAAGAGTTGTTTGTCAGTCGAATGGTAAGAGTCTGACCTGTCATAAATGATCGGTCAGTTTGTTGTGATTATGGTTCGTGGGACTGAACCATTTGACCGCTAAGAGTGACTAGTAGCTAATTTCTCCTTACAGTATCAGTGCAGAATAAAAAACATTGAGCTCACAAGAATAGACGAGATGATCGCTTGCTAAAGGATACTATTGAATGTTAAACAAGTTATCCATGTCAGTACAACTATAGTAAATACATAGAGAACAGTATGGAGTTATGCAAATTGATGACAAGGTGTAAAAGTTTGAGGGGCGTCTGTCAGTTTTGATTAGTTAGGACCACTTGATCTCGTAAACTCATCATAGTCACAGGTATTTGACACATTTTGCAGCGAAAGATCTTTATTTTTCTTCTTTTAGTTAGTTCCAGCTCATGATTACAAAGTGTGATCGCAGTTAGAAAGCTATTGCTGAAACCTGTTCTGGCAACATGCCTTTTAGAGGGTTAACTTTTAATTGATGTTCATAAGAACAGGGAGAAAATGAAGCTGAGAGAATCAGCTCTATTTCTACAATCTTTCCTTTCTTTGCATGTTGCTAAATGTTTTGGTGGGGCACAAGTTTAATGCCCATAGGCCATTCATGTTTATAACCCACCCATTAATTTTCACACCATTCTATTCGCTACTTTACGTGACGTGGTGCAAAATCACTGGTCAATTATCACGCAATAATAATCTGCGTCGATCTTTGTCCTCCGATTATGTTCGTCGAAAAGAAACAAAGTCAACGGAAAATAACCAGCAGTAGGAAATTATCAGCCGACATTCCAGCCGCCTGTAGGGGTTTATTCGGTAAATACTAAATTTACGACACAGGATCGACCGTTCAATCACTAAGAATTGAACAAGCTAGGAACCAGTCAGAATTTGTCTTACATGTCTAGATGCACATGGTGTCCCATCCAATGGTGGAGCGACTTTACTGAAGCAGGAGAAGCCGTTGCGTGTGCAATACAGGGAGCCACAGTTAGACTGAAAAAGAAATAAACCAGCAAATTAACCAAAATTTATCAAAGGACATCAAACACTACGGCCCCATTCAAACGTGGTGGTTTTGAAAGGGGGGGGGGGTGAGTGGGTGGGAGGTTTGATAATTACTGCTCGCCTTACCCTTCCCCCCTTCCACGCTCACTTTTGGCTTCCGTTCTGGAAATGATTAAAAATCCTTTGCATTCTTGCATTTCTCTTCCTTTTCTCATACTAGGAATTTTTTTCATCGTACATTTGCCTCACCCTTCTCTCGTACCACTTCCTCCCGCCATTCTCTTGTCCCTTTGACTCCTAAGAGTGACTAGCATGGAATTTCCCTTTGCAATGGCTCCCCTGAATCACAGATAAGGGTCACGAGAATAAAGAAAATGATAAAAAACTAAAGAAGCTCTTGATTGTTGAACAAATTCTTCTTGTCAGCACCTCAGGAAAGAAGTAAAGAGTATTATGGAGAATAAGCATACTAATGTTAGGGTGTAAAGGGTTATACTCTACCATTTCCCTTACTGAACTAACATGCTTGTAATTCATAACAAGGTTATGATCTTTTTAATCACAATCACTTTGAGCCTTAACGATGTACCACCCAAAATTCCATTTGTTTCTTACCAGTGCTTGTTTACACTGAAAAACACCTTCGCCATATTGCTCTTTACACTGCTCATCTCCAGATATCACTCTTCCTGGGAGCTTCCCACGGAAGTACTTCAGGTAATTTATGTTGCGGGATCTTCCATCCATTAGGCACTTCGGGGCAGTTCTTATTAAAGACAAAATGGTTCAAAGATCGAATATCAACCTCGTGATCGCCATCTTTTAAACTGTATTTCAAGGCATTTTTCGTGTATGTTATTTCACGGGCAGATCTCGTCCTTCGTGAGTGATCCGAAAAAAGAACTATATCGTTCATCTGTCTCGTGGAAATACATTTAAACAACTGATGCGAGGAGAAATACGAGTCCTTGTACCTGGTTTTTCCTAACGGATTTACTCAATTTCTCAGGGAGTTATTTAGTTAGCTAAGAGTCTTATTAGGTGAGTAGGAAAACCATCTTTAATCTGCATTTGTGGAATAAAAATTGTATGAACTACCCTAGTAACTCTTGAACATATTTCCTACTGCAAGGGGACCATGTGCCCGCATACTTCCCTCCAGGTACCGCGGTAGACATAATATATGTTGCGTCGGGGCAGCCATCAGCAGAGTCATGATTTAAACCAAGCCTTAAACGCAAGCGTATGGGAAGGGTTAGGGTATTGTATGCGCGTTATTGACCAAGCGTGAGGTCAAGATGCGTTTTTATCGCATAAAAAAAAGACGAGGTTAATACCAAGCAACCTTAACCTGAACAGGCTCGCTCAATAAAGGACTTATTATTTCGAAAAACGATTTCGTTTCATAAAAAATCAGACGAAAAGACATTAGGAAATAAAACTGAATGGACTGCTTTTTTTTTATCAAAGACCCTCGCTACTATCTCCAGGATGTATGCTTCCAGAAATGACTCCAGCCCGCTAAAGTTTCCCTGACTTTGGAGATATATACCTCCTACATCACATGCGAGTTGAATTTCATGTTGTTTATGTCGTCATTTCAAAGGTTTTTCTGCCAATTATCCGTTTTCTTTTCTCTGAAAAGATGAACGCTTAATCTGTATTTACGTAACAGAGAAGTGCGGCGAAATACAACTGAAGGACCTTCATATATTAAAAACCTTAACATGGTTTTTGCAGCTGATGGAAGCTTCTTGTAAGGTAAAAAATTGAACTTACGTGTGCCCAATTTCGTGTGCTAGAATGAGGCGCGTGTTAAAGCCCATTGCACCGTTATTAACGGTATAACTGAAACTGCCTTTGCATATTGAATCAAAACTCGCCAAGCCTGCAATAAATTAAACAAAATCAAAATAGACTTATTAATTTATTGCCTATGATATGGATACTAACTGTAAAAAAAAAAGTTTCTAGGAATTTCTAAAATGTGTAATCATGCTGACATGCGTACCATGGAACTTCCTGGAACATTCTATTTGACCACGTAGGATTGTAGCTTTCTTAAACGGTTTAATTATACCGTAACACGTAATTAAAGACGCTTTTTTTCAACATATTTTTTTAAAATTATAAATACGTCTTCCTCTGACAGTAACAGACTTCCTCAGGGATTTTTTATATGTAGGATAAATAAGCTTGTTTACTTCACAAATTGTGGATAACATGTCTATTTTCGACTCCTACGCATAGTGTGACTAAGGTGATACGTTATACACGCTTGAAATTTTTCGGACGTTACATATGTGAATACGTGATGAGTTTAGGGGTCACAGATTTAGCTCTATTGTCCGAGGAAACGCGAAGGAGATTAAACAGAATTTTTTAAAATTTATTTCAGTTCGTACGGTGTTGGTCACTAGTTATCATTTTAAGAGAGTTTTACATGGACTCATCAATTTATCGCGGCATTAAATAATAGGGAAATTAAAACTAAACAAATGCTCAGATGAAAATCGATTTAGACGGTGGATAGGGAGAAATGAATTTAAAAAAACATACCTCCTGAACTTCCCCTGAGAGGAAAAAAAATGAAAAAATCATTCAAAAAAGGATTAAATTTTTTCTGCTCAGTCCCGCGGTATTTCTGTATTGTAATGCTACTGTTACGTCTTCATGTACACATACACACATCTTCAAGATAATGACAGAGCCACTTTATACCGTGAGGTTATACCCTTGTGTTCCTAGTGTTATATATCGGCTTATGTCGCTAAGTCAATGTCATTTTTCAATCTTGAAATCAATTACAATCTCAAAATCAATATCGATGTCGATGTCTTTGTTTTTGTCTTTGTCTTTGTCTTTGTCTTTGTCTTTGTCTTTGTCTTTGTCAATGTCAATCTCACTGTCACTGTCACTGTCACTGTCACTGTCACTGTCACTGTCATTGTCATTGTAAATGTCAATGTCAATTTCAATGTCGATGTCGGCGTCGATTTTAATGTCATTGTCTTTGTTATTGTCAATGTCAATGAAACCTACACATCATAATATCATTTATATTTCAATTTAAGCACTGCAAGTATTACCGACTTATCAGAGATATGACATCAGGATGGTCTCTTTGAGAATCCAGTTCTGGAATTTTAGCGTCTGCCGCCCATTTCTTGAGAGCCACCATCTTAGCATCATTGCTACCCCCTGAATACTTAAGCTAAACAAACAAACAAACAAACAGAGTTATGTTTAATGACAGTTATTGTTTGGTATTGTATTTCAGGCAAAGTCACACGGTAAATATATAGTAATACTCAAATGACCTACCCCATCCTGTACAAGTTTAATCTGCACGATGGTGATGGTAATTTTTTTCTGACCAATACTTTCATGATGATAAAAGGCATTTACCTAGAATACAAAGTTAAAAACCAATCATTGAAATTTACAAAATGACTCGGAGATGGCCCTCTTTCTCGCAGAAGTAAAGTAGCTGATCACAAATAAACACAGAACCAAGTTCGAGTTTACCATATGTGCCAGCTTAAGCAGATAATCTGCGGTGTCGTCGCCATGAAATGCAATCATACTTTTATCAGCTACCATTGTCATCTCGAGAAAGAATTGTCCGGCATCACTAGGTTTGACTTTCGCAAATTTCAGAGAATCCTCGTCAAAACTGGGCTCTTTCCACTCAGTACCACTTCCTGATAATTTTTCTGTAATTTATAATCACGAATGAGTTTTGCCTCAAAATCAAGTGCATTAACAGATAAATTAGATTTCTGCTGTTCAATCAACTGGTTACCCCTTCAATTACATTCATTATAAAAGACAAATTTTTTCGCTGACCCAACTACGTTTGTTGTTTATATCTTTAGATAAGCTATGACTCACAAATTTTATGCATTTAAGACCTTCTCCCCGCATAGCGCTCTCTTTCTCAGCGCTCAAGAAGGAGGGCACAGAGTGCAAAGTTCGTTATTTTTTTCATCACCTTGAAACTCGTTTTCCATAGCCTCATCGTCAATCGAGCGCTTGATGACTAAGTGACTTTTGGAATTACTGTCTGATAAAAGATGACTTGGAAGCGGTTGAAGGAACAGAGACTGGTCCAAAAGTTGTATTAGACCTGTCTGAAGAAACAGAAGGAAAATGTGTATGTCAATTGAATTGTGAGATGTAGCCGGGAGGTTATCCTGAACAACATCATCAAAAACACAAAGAAAACTGAAAAAACAAAGCTTATTGACACTAACTGTACTTATTTTACACCCAAAGCCACCTTTTAACTAACTTAAATGTTTTTAAAAAGCTACATAACTCCAAAGCATTCCTGTCAATGCAGTTTGGAGTGTTGAGGTTGCTTTTTAGCACTCACCAGTCCTCCTCTATTACTAACTGCAACCGAAGAGCCAAATTCTCCAATCACGTGACCATCTAAGAAGGAATTCTTGGGTGGTTCCTCAGCTGTCACTGTTCCATTTTCGTGTCGCTCAACAGTTAGCCATGGTGACATGAGATCTTGGTTCATTGTGAGGTTTAGATGCAGTGACCTTCCGAAGGCTTTGACATTGAAATACCACGCACGAGGATCCTCGGCGTTTCTCTTCTGCCTGGCGTGAGTATGGAGACTTTCTGAGAGAAATCTGTTTTCCTCATCAACTTGGAACGGAGAAGTGACATCGTACAGTGGTACTGTATTGTAAAGTGGGGTTTCAAAATGTTAGCTAAAGTTAATGGTTTCAACGTGGGAGGAACAACCGATTGTGTGGAGTCATCGTCCAAGTGAGAGCAGAGCTGAAGTTAAAGGACCGATATTGACTTTTCGACAACTCAAGCGGAAGGCATAATCCGGCAGTGCAGTCGAGACACCAGTAACACTCACCAATTACAGTTTTCTTAGGAAAAATTTCAGCAGATTGTTTGACTTGAAAATTTGTTCGGATATCCTTCTTGGACAAAATATGTACGTCGAAGCTAACAATTTTCTTCGAGCCTCGCTCTCGGAAAATAGTTAGCCTCTAGGAACAGCTAATGTCTGCAGATAATTTCGCGCCATATGTAGACCATTTTTTGTACATTAAGGTGGTTATAGAGATGTGCGCGCTCTACTCGGCCGAGAATTATACTTTACACCTGCTATGGATACCCTGCGCGAGATAGATATGATACTTAAACAAAATTTCAAAATGGATATGTTTCCAGTTTTCTTATAGTCACCTGAGGTACTTTACATAAACAATCATTCTCCTTAGCCTCCTTAGAATATTCGCTATATAAACTTTGCATTGGAGGAAAAAGTGTTCAGTATCTTTAGACTTTACCTTCCTCGTGCGAGCTTACTCCAAAATATTGTTCCAATTCGCTTCTTTTCATTTGGAGATGGATTTCATCCTGTAAGGACACGTGAGTGTACTTAGCAAGGGTATATTTCATTTGCTTATGATTTCTGACACCAAAAAATTACTAGAGATACTGAGAATAACTTAGATATTACAATATCATTTCAATATAGTTTACGTGAACTGAATTTTAGAAAAAAGAAAAGTTTATAACACGTAGAGTTTTTAGTGCCGCCTAACTTGGCACGTTCCTCGTTTATCAGGGCTTAGTTTAGGATGCACGAAAGAGCTTATAAAATGAATCGAAAAATAACCAAAGAGGAAGACTGGCGATTCTCATTTAAGAGAAATCTAGTCAAATTTAGCCAAAGCTACCATGTGTTTTGTAACCAAAGTTGCTCTGAATCAAACGGGTCAACCATAATTTATCCTGCTGAGCAGGCGTCACTTTTGTTAGTGAGTGCTTGTGATATTATTGGTGAAAGTTGTAGCAGCCATCTTTGATTCTTACAGCTGCAGAAGGCTGGTGAGAGAAAGAAGTTTGTGCCAGGTGAGTGAGCGACGGTCAAAATTATGGGGCATTAGTTTGCAACCGTGTCTAATATGAATTTTGTTACTCTATCAACTTATGTAGAGATAATAAACTAATGCTACAAACCGGCATGTGTTTGGCAGTCACATCAAGGTTTCCATGTTCTACTGATTCTGAGGCCGTCAAGTCTCCTATCAATCACATGTCATGTCGTTAATGAGGTATTAGATGAAAAAATTTCAGTAGAGTAGCAGTAATACCACATGAAATCTTCTTACCTTTGGAGACAGTTAAATAAATTACGAAGGACAGCAAAATAGAGAAATACATCGAAGTCCTAGAGTAGCTCTGAAAACTAATAAAGAGAGAAAGGACGAGAGATTAATTAACCAACACCACGACATGGTTGATATGTATATATATATATATTTATGTGATCATATATGCTTAATTGTTATCAAGGTGGTGGAGAGTATTAATACAGCGGTATATTGGGTAAACAAACACAACTGAAAACGATATTAATGAAAAAGTCAAATGAAAGAAAGTGAAACATGAATAAGACACACAATGAATACACATATATACAACAAAACTAATAAAATACGTGTAGCAAAGTATGAGCAACAAAACCAGCAAAAGCACTCATTTTATTGCTGAGTTATTTCTCTCACATCTTGCACTATGCCTTAAAAATCAGCTACCTTAAAAATCAGCTAAAGACGCAAATCAACAGATAACCAAACAAACGAAAACATCAACGAACGAGCAACGATAGAATGAGTAAGAGAGTGACAATTAATTAGACGAAGCAAATTTGAGCGAATCAACAAATTAAAGGAATAAAAGTAAGGAACACGAAGCGGCCGTTAACGAATGCAAACATAAATAAGTGAAAGATAGAACGAATGCTGCAATTTCAATGTAAATGTGACAGATGCCGTTTTTTTATATTTTGATTTCATAATTCAGTTTCTTGACGAATGCAAACATAAACAAGTGAAAGATAGAACGAATGCTGCAATTTCAATGTAAATGTGACAGATGCCGTTTTTTTATATTTTGATTCATAATTCAGTTTCTTGAATTCCTGGTCCGGCCACAGGCCTTTTCATATGGGTCTTAATGGTATCTTCGAGAGTACAAAAAGGAGCCCCAAGCCTAGCTTGGCCTCTTCACGGAACGTAAGGGATTCACTGAGGTACATGTCCTTAATGTAAGAGTTTAAGTCAATATTATGTTCACGAGCACTTTTGAATTAGACAAAACAAATCATGCGGCCAGTCTCGACGTTTTCGTTTCTAGACGAAGTTATCACAAATCTCAATTACCACTTATGCTAGCTGATTATGATTCATATATATCGAACTTTAAACAAGAACGTGAAAGTTTAAGGTCATTAGATCCACAACAACAATTGTAGAATTGAATAATTAAAAATATCGAAAAAATATTACTTCACGAAAATATACTTTCGTCTGAACATTACGAAATCGAACAGCTGTGCTATTCTATCAATATGCTAGCGTGTAAAACTTAAAGTAATAATTAGTGTAACAAATAAGCATCAACGTTATTTTGTCTTTGCAGAATTGGCTGGTTGGCAACGCTTTTGTCTTAGAAATTCTCTTCCACCTACCTGTAATCTTGTCTTCTTGTTAACTTCTGGCGTTGGCTTTAGATAAAGTCAATAAATAATTTTTAGATTATGTTGTTATTCAAAATGTAATCCTTAAAGAGAAAACGTTTCCGTAAATCTCTATTAGCATTTCAAACCAACATTTGATAACAAAATGCATAAAAAAGCCTTTCGAAACATCACGATTCGTAAAAGAGATCGAAGAACATTCAGTTTGAGCAGGTTAGCTTTAACAGAACTTGAAAACTGCTATTTTCTCAATACATTCATACAGTCTTACATTGTTACCATCTGAAGAATTATTTAGAGTTTGGAATTTGAAAGGGAAGAAACGGATAAAATTGAAAAAGTCCGACACACACATTTATATCTAAGGAAACTGAAGTCGTAAATTGTTTCCGCTGTAGATTTTTATACTTACGAAAAACGTTGAAAATTTTGTTTTTCGAATTCTGTTCAGCCTCTGCTCCGAGTCGCAGTTCTTGCGGTTCTTGTCGTGTATGTAAATAAGAGCTGTATTGAACACGAAACCTATAATGAAAAATGTATCTTGTAGGTGCCATTAAATACACGGGTATTTGATAAAGATCTGTTAATTAACTGCTTATAGACCACCTCCAACACCGCAGCGTCAAATGAAAAACTTTACAAAGACTTGAAAGATAAACAACCGAAACTAACTTCAATTGTTTCGTGTGAATTTAAAGGGAAGGAGACAAACTGTTGGAAAAATGAAAGTGTAAGTGACAGGCTAAACAATGAGTCATTTTAAATAGGAGTCAAATTTAGCAAATCTACGAAGAAAAAAACCTCTTGTTTAAAAAAAATAAAGATACATGTTGCTGTTTCACTGATGAGTGATCAGTTAGAGAAATCTAGATTAAAGAGGGTGGATTCGTTGTAAATTGTCATGGGCTTAATTATAAATAGAATGAGAATCTGCGTCATGGAATATGTAAATTTATTTGTTATCAAAACAGGATAGGAAGTAGACACTTTTCCGCATAGCTTTTTTTCCATTCTTATTAGTGATTAAACCAATATTAAAGTCTGCGAAGCATAAAACTTAACCCACGTCATTTCAATTTTAATTTTGATAATTTATTGACGATGAAAGAAAGAGCCACAGAGAAGGTGCCCGCATTAAGTACTACTCGCTCTTCCGCCAATACCTTTCATTACGTTTAATTCAAACTGGCTCGACCTATAAATAGCAGAATAATGTATGACAGAATAAAAGACATAATTGTTACAATCTGAATATCTTAATTATCATTTTCTGAGAAACTACCAAACAAAATTTTCTAATTTTCATTGTTTCACAACATCTGCGAATGTTATTCAATTTATTTTCTAATTTTAAACGTGGGATACTCAGTAGTGATAAAATCCCTGGAGATTAATTGTCTCAATCTGTTGTCCTGTTTGTTCTCAGTAATAATAATACTTACAAAGTGACTGTTATAGTGTCACCGATCGTTGCTTTGGCGAAACTAAACTTATCCTCGTTTCCCGTAAACCATCATCTTCAAATTTTAATTTTTGGAGGCGAGCAATTCTATTACTGCCATTTAAAGTAATCCAGTTGTCTGTTTGATGGCTTTGAGCCTCACAATTGAATTGTAATTGGCTTTGAAAATCACGGAAAGTTCGTCCAATATCGTGTCATTATTGTTCTACACAACTTCATGATCGAGAGGGAAACTCTGATGTTTGTCCTCAAGGACTTTTTTATTTTTTACAAAGGAAGCGTTATTGAAAGAATTCATGTGGTATCAACCAAGAGTGACAATTTTTATCCGGTCACTATTCACTTACCATGACGCATCCAAATGCTGCATGAAATTAAATTTCACATTTCTTCATAACTCAATCAGTTCAACTTTTCCACGGTCTGGTTGGAGCCTCTAATAATGTTTTCCCCGTTAGAATTTTTTTCAATTCAGTTTTTTTTTTACTTTTCAGATGCGAGGAACATTTTGACATTCAATCGATTTTTTTTAAAAAAAAAGTTATTGAAATACGAGGATGTTTACTTTTTAGACTGTTTGGTACGCTGAACATGGGTCTATTCATATTTTGTGGTGGCTCTATTCTTCTTAATGAATTTTTCGACCATTTGCGAAAAATGAAGACTACCTCTGCTTATTGCTTTCTCGTGATGGTTGAATTTTTTACTACTTGTCCGCAATGTTTCATGTAGATACAAAACTTCTCAGAGTCAATTCGAATTCGATAAGACAAAAGAAATATTTGAATACAATTAATGATTCAATTGAATGACAAGTTCGTGTCAACAAATGGTAACCTTTAAGTTAACGACACTATCTCCATGTTAATAAGTGACAAAAAACTTCCAAGATATGTAAAAATTTTAAAACACAACAAAGACAAGTAAGCTGTTACACTAAGTCTAAGATTAAAAGCAACACGGAATCCGTGATGAACTTGTCAAAGACTTCAGTAATTACGAAAGTAAAACTGAGATAAAACATATCGCGTTGCTTCAACAACAAAGTTTTTTGCGAAGACAGATTAAAAGTGATGTGACATTTTGAGCGACAACGACTTAGCTCATAATTTATCATCCTTTTCTGACTCCACTCACTGACTCACTCGACGTTATCGACATTGGTGTTCGTTGTCGTTAGTTTTCAGGACGCTGGTCACACATGAACTTTGCAATGGCCTTGTTCACCACTAAGTTTTCTGCTTCTCAGAGATAAAGCAAAGGAGCGCAAAATCCTAAGGTCTGGGGTTCGATTTCTCATAATGATTCCTCGGTTTTTCTTCTTTGTTTAACTCTCCGGAAAAAAAAATGTTAATTATTTTTTTCATGCGAAGACGGAGCTTAAAATTTAGCACCTTTTTTTTTGTGTGCCATATTAAATATCTGTCATAAGCTAAGGACACAGGAAATATTGTATGATTGACTATTTCCTTTTTCTCAAGCTATCACTAAATATAAATTCTTTATTTGAAAAAAAAATCCGTTCTTGAACGCAGATTTTGTTGTTAAAAACCTGATATTGAAATGACAATCCTGGCAGCTGAGTAATATCTGGTGACGCACACAACGCTTGCTGTGCTACATTTGATTCCATACTGTGTAATAAACTTCCGAAAATGAACGAGCAGGTTTATCAAAGCTGAATGAGCTCATCTTTAAAGGTGACCAGTGAAGGTTTACAACTCTTATGCCTTTAGATTCATGAATAGCATTTTAACCTTGCTCTCGAATTTTAAAATACACTATGGTAAATGGATGAGTCAAGTACGTACCAGAGCCGTGGTGCAATCTGTCAAATACAGTCTAGATTTATGCTCTCAGCGTTAATGTTATAAATATCCATACGTTACAATGTGAATTCTGGGGAGGCGTCTCCATGGGGCCTTTTTCAAATTTCCTTAGATTAAGCTCTTCTGCTAATGGGGTGTCTAACCACTATTCAGTGATAAAAATGGCGCCTTAAACAAAAACTAAGAGGAGTCCAGAGCACGTTTCGCATTGAAACCTACGAACATTTCGCAATTCACGGAATGCAAAATGAGCAATTCTCATTTCCTGAAAAAACCGTGAACACTACTCAAAAATAGGTCGACGAACGGATCTACCAGATAGAGTACAAATGGCGGTGTAGGGCTAAGGTTATCTTACGGATACCATTAAGCTACTTTCATGGGTCGAGTTCATCATTATTACCAAACTCAGATCAGTCTATGTTGTTCATGAGGTAGTCCCCACGCGTTTAAACATAAGAATGTGGCAAAGTGTTTTTGGTTCTAGCATCAATCCAGTTTACCGGCAATATTAAGCAGCTCTATTTTAACAGGGCAGACATGGATTTTATATTTTATCATTTCTCATGATGGTATGGAAACTCCTTGAAGTTGAGATGATGGTAATGAAGCTGATTTTGCTCCATGTTACTCACATCAGAATTTGGCTCGTGGGAGCCTATTTTGAAAGTTCATAGCTTTTCGTGCACTTTCTTTCGAATTTGGAAAACAAAAACAGTGAACATCCAACCTTAGGGAGATGAATAAACATTTCAATAGAATTTACCGACCTTTGTGATTAGCAAGTTGCATATAGCATAAGAGTTTTGCACGAAAGTTATACTCGAAGTTGTGCATGCAAAGAGAATTTATAACAACTTTTACCCATAAACGACAAGGCAAAAACGACCAAGAAATATTTAGACACCAAAGCATTATTCAAAGAATTGTAAACTTTAAGCATTTCTTGCATGTAGGAGACCGCTACTTGAAACTACTTATCTACTCAGAAACTTGCGTAGGTTTGTTTTGGAAATTTTGAAAATTCTGAAATTGTACGACTTTTAAATTAAAAACGTTATTGAACAATACTTTCAAGTCATATCCCATCTTAAAAATAATATTTATCGTTCGTTAAACAAAGAGAAAAACGTAAAAATTTCTTGCATTTAAGAGACCCTTGTGGAAGGATTTACCATGCTTGAACTGTTGTTTATTAGATTTTACGACCAGAAATTCTGAAAACTGCAAAATTTTAAAACGAAATCTTCAAATGAACGATAGTTTTGGGACATATTAATACTTAATAACATTAACCGTTGTAAAGAAGACAATTCACTGTTTTGTTTTTCCGGCCATATGTTATTTGTATCGCGTCTGGGAATGATGTATCATGAAATCCAAATCTAATTTCGTCGCTTGAAAAAGCTACAAAGTCATTGTTTTTCGAAACTAGTACCGAGTATTGTTTATCATATTTACTTTTTGTTATGAGCTATAAAAGGTCTTCCTCAGTCGAGATAGAACGAGAAAACAGTTTTCAGAACTCGCGGCTAAAATCGACGGGAATTGGCAGCTTGCAGCTGCGCATACATAGAAATCTATACGACAGCAGCTCCTTAGGAATAAGGTAGGACTTGTTCCCGCAGTATATTTTAAAGAACTGTGGCTTTTGCCGTATGTTCCGTGCATTTTCAAAATTTTTTTCGGTGAGAAGCGTGTGTCCTATTCAGATATTTTTGAAAAATTATTACTCTTTTGAAATCAGTCTAGGTCATAACTTGACGGCAAATATTTACGTTGTCTATACCACTTTCATAAGTAAGTGTCAAACTGTTTCCATTTCTGAGACTCTCATTAACTGCTGACAGTTTCCATATATAAATACGTTCTCAGGTCTCTAAGGAGACAGAAAAATTTCTTTGTGAAAGCAATTCACTTGACTGATGTCATGCGCTAATTAACTCGTTAAGAACTTTTTATTTTACTTAAGTTTAGACCGAAAGTATTGCTTCAACAAAATTTGAAAAAAAATATTACTTCGGCATTTTAATTCGAACAAGTCACAACGAATATAGACGGAGAAAAATTTAACGCCACTTCTTTAGTTAACGTTCCTACCTTATTTTAAGACTCTGTCAGAAACTTTTGTGTTAGAAAATTGCTTCTCTTATTATCTGTCCAAAAAAGCATTCAGGCTATGCAGAGCGTAAGGATTTTCTTTTGAAAGTTTCTGATACGTTTTCTGTGGAGTAGAAATTGCATGTTTGTATTCTGACCGAAGTTCGTTTTCGTCTATCAAAGATTAAAGATGAAAGAATGAGATGTAAATGCGGTTTGTCGAACGGAAGTTTGCTTATGCTCACTGTACATACTCTCATATACATTTTAGGTAAAAGTCCGTTTTAGGAGACCAGTAGAAGTGCCACTCTGCTTCAGAGAGTGCAGACATATTAATGCATAGTACTGCCACCAAAACTGTGAATCACTTTTTATTCGCAATTAGACAAGACCAGAATTCACTTGAGTCAAGGTATTATTTCATATAACGTAACACGCCGAAATGACTATAGATGCCTTTAAAATTTGAGGCGCCTGTTAGCGATCATCCCCTGGGAAAGGTGAGGTAGCATATAATTCTGAGTGCTCGTTCCTGTGGCAAGAGCTGAAGCCCTAAGGGAATGTGTGAAACGACTTGATCTGTAGAGTATTTTTTTAGCATTGACCTTGCAGCAAGAAGTTTAGCTTACCGCTTTAAAGAGTGTCTGCCCTACTTGCCAAAAAATCTTTAAACCATGACCCCTTTGAACTCTAAATTAAATTTGTAAATCAAAGTCGACCATAATTATCAAACCCACCGTGCTTTATAACGAGGAGTACTTCTCAGCCTGCGAAGAAATTTAAACCGTGGTTGATTCCGACACACAATGAACCCCGGTGCCAGTTGAGTTACATGACACGCACACGCCTGTATTTGCTCAGCTCAGTTTCCAGTCAAATTAATATCCACTTCTCACCAATCTTATAAAAGATTGACATCTGGCGTGAAAGGGACAAGCAATCAGCAAAAAAATTGATTTATTTATGAGGTTCCTAAGTAACTAATGAACCGAGCGTCTCGGTAATCGGTCAATTCGTTTAATGCTCAATTTCTTCGAGAAAAAAGCGTGCGAAAGAACGGTCACAATTTTTCACAAAAGAAGTCAATTTGTTTCAGTTGGAGTCAGTTGTTTTCATACAAGAGTCAGATCTTTCTTTATCCAAATACTCTTTTAAGAGAGATCAAAATTAGTAACACTGACAGATAAATAGAACGAATTAAAGGAAAATGTAAAGTTGTTTTACACGAATGATCACTTGATCGAGGTTGATTTTACTACAAAACAAAGTTAAAGTGGCTCTATTTTACTCACTATTAGGTCGATTCCTCGTGGGAATTTTTCTTTGTCTCACACTATAGACGATATCTTTCTCCAAACCTACAGCTGTAGCTTGCTTTCTGACATAAGTGGTTTTAAGGTAATGTAGGATCGCGAGTAAGCAGAAATACTTTACCATCGGACAAACTTTTGAAATCAAGAACCATACGTAATATGCATGTGAAGCTACGTAAATTCAAAGTGAGAATTTTAACTAATGACTGATCATGGACCGCGAATTCAAGAAAAAAATGATCATGGCTCATCATGGACCTCGAATACAAGAAGAAAATGAGACACCGCCATTTTCTTTTTCTATTTGCGACCCTTCCCAGATCTTTCACACATGCGTTCGAATGCTGTATCTTTCATGGAGAATGATAATTGGGAATTTAAAAGGAGAGGAAAATGGAGGGATTCGGAAGAACTTGAATCAGCTGAATTTTGTGATGATATAACAAGAGTCAAGTTTAATTTTTTTTCATTACAATTTAAACTAATAATTATATTATGCGGATTGATGTACTACATCTCTTCGTTTACTCCTATATTTCCCTCGAACCGCGGTCATATTTCTTCAAGTGTCCTCAAGTGTTCTTCGCGGGTTTCTTTACGGGTCGATCAACGATTAATGACGTAAAGGTTTCTTTAAATTCACTCTGATAAAAATTAATATAAGGCGATTCAATTTGTTGTGGCTAAGAATGTAAATTTACAATCCAATTAAACTAGCTAGGGGTATCTGTCTTCGCCAAACCAGCGGCATGTGTTTACTTTATTAATGCACCTAGCAAGGAAGGAAAAATAGTCAAGTTAAGTTTAGTAGAATGCAGGAAGTTTTTTAGCTACTAACTACTAGTTCAAGCAAATGCAACGATACCAGTAATGCTAGTTTCTTATTATTTTCACTTAATTGTCCCAGTCACTCTGTCTGTCAACAAGAGTCAATGTGTCAGCTCGCCAGTCGTCAGTACAAACAAAATATACTTTGTAGACGTTTCCAGTATTATTAATATGATAAAGAAGATTAATTTACGTGCGTTTCAAAATAACACTTACTTTCACAATTGTCCCCTGCAAAGAGACTTCCGCACTCACAGTGATATTTATCCGGATCATTGAAATGCACAACGCATGTCCCACCATTCTTGCACGGTACAGTATCGCACACATTTGAACCTATGAACGCTGGTCTTAGCCGATATACATAATTGGTCAGCAATGCACCAACTCCTCCCAGGCACTTGTCTGGAGTTGCAACTCCATACGTGTTATAGTTGTCGACTATTTTCGAATCTGTGCGACAGTCACCAAAGTTCTGAACCGCAAAGTATTCATAGTCCATGTCTCGGGCGAGGTGCGTGCATCTGATGACCATTGCGTAAGGATCCTCTTCATCGTATGAGCTCGAGAAACTCCCAAACTTTACTCTGAGCAGTCGGGAGGAGGAGGATCTTTTCTCTTTAAAGCATCCCAGAGGAATCTGTTTTGGGAGCAGTTCTAAGAGAAAAAAAAAAAGGCACGTGTATGTGTAACGAATAGGATGATAACTAAATCATTCTGACGATGTCGAGCAAGCTTCAAGGCCGATAAGAACGTAGCAAGAGGGAAAAAGCGTTGACGTTACCCCCAGATTCTTAATGGAAGGCAATCTTTACCGGATGACTGAGTTGCCAATGATCGAATCCTTGTGTTTGCGCAAAGATTTCTGGGATCGCCACGGGGCCAACATTTCTCCCTCGCCAGGGAGAAAGATATGGCGAAAGGTTGTCTCTACGTAAAAAAAAAAAAAGGATTTTGGAGAGAGAAAATCGCTTTTTCGCCGCTGTTTTAGCTCTCTAAGCTCTCTCGCCTCCCGTTTGAGATAGGCGTGAGTTCTTTTATGGAAACGATAATAAAAAACTAAGCCAACTTCTGTTTCAAATGCAAGTGTCTCATCAATTGTGTAGACAGCAATAGGTTTACCAATACCAACGCCATTCTGACAAATGTTGTCACTTACGGTTAAACAAATGTTATCAACGTGGAACTCACCAAAAGTGTAAACAGCGATACGTTTATTGATACCAATGCCATTCACACAGTTGTTATCACTGGTGGCGCCCTCTTTGTGGTACTCATCCCGGGCGTTTGGTCCTGATCGACATAAGCCATCATATCCCAGTGCAAAGAACTGGTAGCCTTTATCAAACGCCAACTCAGCGCATGTGCTGATAACCACTTGATACTTTTTATCTGCAACTTGGGACTTAAAGTCACCAAGAACGTCAGAGAGATAACTGGAACCAGTGTTAAAACAGGCGATTTTGCTGAAAGCAGGAACTAGAAAAATAAAAAACAATCTTGTAATCAGCTAAGGTGTGACGATAATGAAACATCAAGTGCAATTTTTTCCTACCTTGACAGTTTTTCCCGCTGTAGCCGTCAGTGCAGTTACAGTGATACAATGACACATCTTGGTCGTCATTAGCACAGGTGGCTCCGTTCACACAGGGTTTGTTATCACACGGGAAAAGTCGAACTAAAAGCATCAACATTAGTATAAATTAGTAAATAGCTGCAACTTATATCTGCATCTTTGGTACTAAGTTACGACTTCAATTGAGTCATAACCCTCGCTTCAAACAATATTCTTAAGGTAGCGTAAGATTTAAGCCCTTGCTAATTGTTTTTTCGCGTAATTCGTATATAATTGTTTATTCATTTTTTCACACCTCCTCGTTCGTGTTTTTTTTTTTGTTAAGTTTGTTAGCGTTTTTCTTCGTCAGTTACACCTCTTCGCATGTTTCTCATACCGCACGTTATTTCGCAGTCCTCTTGTATTTAAAGCCAGTTTCTTTTACGCATTATCACTTTTTAAAATCAGTTTGAGTTAAGTGGCGCTTAGCGTACGTCTTCAAGTTATTTGATTTCTGCAGTTATATATTAGGTGTTATCAGTGTTAGTATTTTTCCGTTTCGCTTCGTTTGTAGTCATTTTTTGCGTTTAATTTGTTTATATTAGTTAGTTAAATTACCTATTATCTATTTTTAGTTTCAACCTACGACTATCACTACTACTACAAGTACTTCGGCTACTGCGTAAATAGGAAACATTTCGAGTTGAAAAGATGACGCTTTTGCTTTTACAGGTAGAAAGTCTAAATATGCTCTATCTCTTTAGTAAAGGTTGTAAAAAGGGTTGGTTGAAGAATACCTTAAATCCGTCAAGTTAGTAAAGTGAAGCTCTGCATATATCCATTTTCATCGAAAGACTGGAGGAGAATTTCAATTTTGCAAAGATTCTGGTCTTTATGGTCTCTGAGGAACTTAAGCAGTCAGAACGGAAATCCGAGGAAAACTTCGATCGAAAATTGAATCTATATTTATAGTTATAATAATGCGAATCTCTGGATGCGTTTACCGTCGTTTACGGCGCCTCGCTTCAACTTTAGCATCACATTTGTGAAAAGCATTGAATTTCATACTGGAGGCTTAAATAGTCCTCAGACCATGCAAATTTTGGAGATATCATATTGTTTTTTTGCAAAGGATGGCTGAAAACGTAATACGTTTTAAAACGCACGCGCTGAGCTAATTGGTTTTCCCATTTAATTATTTAATTTACCGCGCTTTTGTTGCCGTTGCCGTCGTAGTTTGCCTAAGGACTCCGATGATATACGGTTACAACACGAGGCCATCGCATATTGCATATACTTGCATAATCATTGCAATTGTGCCGATTACTTTTACTCTTCATTTGTTTCAAGTGTTTCTTTTTTTTCTTATTTACCTCGCAGCTGTCTGTTCAAACAGTCATTGGCTTAAAGAAATTAAACCAAAAACGACAGAAAAAGATCTCAAGTGATCATATTATACCTTCGCAATTCTTGCCCTTGAACCAATCTCCACAGTCGCATTTGTATTGCTCCGGACTTTTTGTGCTACTTAAACATTTTCTGCCATTCAAACACGGCTTTCCGGTGTCACAAATGGTTTGAGAAACTAACAATAGGAAACAAAAACGTAGCACTGTTACCATCCCAAACCAACATGAAACTGAAAACACTATGCGAAGAATGAATTTTGTCGACAATGAGCTGACTTGGTGATGAAGGTACCTTGACAGTTTGCCCCGGTGAACCAGTCTGCGCACTGACACTTGTATTTGGAAATGTTGTGGGGATCGTTGCCACAAGTGGCGCCATTTTGACAAGGATTGCTGTCGCACGGATAAATTTGCACTGTCAATAAGAATTAAACTAAAGTTTAGCAAAGCCCCCAAACACTAATCGAACTCAATTTGGTGTTAATAGAGCGAGTCAATTTTTCAAAGAGAGTAAAATTGCATGAACCCCTAGGGCAAGTCTAAGAAAAATTTACAACTGCTTATTACACCAAATTGCACATAAAATCATGTTACTACTTTTTAATAGTGTACATGAAAGAACACCATGAAGGGTAAAGACAGACGAAATGTTTAGAGCGTGCGCGTGCTATTTGTAATTTGCGCTCGTGTTACAACTTTGCTTTAGTGTTACATGAGAATGCACTCGTTCTCAGCCAAGCAGGAGCGCGTAATTTTTTCATGTACATTATCAACAGGGAAAATTCTCATGTATGTGATATTTTCATAGTAAAAAAAAAAAAAATGACACGGAGTTTCTCTCACAGTGTCTCAGAGTGCTTCTCTCCACCCACGAATATAAATGGGTATCGCTGAATTGTGAGGGTAGTCTGATGATATGTTGGGGTAACCCATAACGTACCATCTATCTACTTGCTTAATTCTATGGAAACCAAGATGAAAATTGGCTGGGTTGGCCTCTCGACACAGACGTTACCTGACCTTAAAAACAAGCATGAACCTCGGCAGGAATGGCGAAAGTCAGAGGTTAAAGATTTGGAAGGAAAAGGCTTGATCGAAAAAAAATACCATTTCAAATATTTCTGATATCCTGAGAAAGAGGTCACTGAGGAAGTGGGGGAAGAGTCTACCAAACAGTTTTTATTTACCTCGCCTGAAGTACTTCACATATCTTACCTCCGCAGTTATTACCAACAAACCATTCTCCGCAATTACAATAGTACCTGCTGGAATCACTGAAGTGCACCACGCAGGTTCCCCCGTTCTTGCATGGTACAGTATCGCACACGTTCGGGCCAGTAAACGCTGGTCTCAATCGGTATACATAGTTGGTTTGTGATGCACCCACCCCTCCCTGGCACTTGTCTGGGGAGGCTTCTCCATAGGATTTATAATTTTGGACTAATTTTACATCTGTGCGACAGTCGCCAAAGTCCTGCACTGCAAAATACTCGTAGTCCATATCTCGGGCGAGGTGCGCGCATCTGATGACCATCTCGTATGGATTCTGTGCATCGTACGAGGTCGAGAAACTTCCAAACTTTACGTTCAGAAGTCGAGATGACTTTTTCTCGTTAAAACATCCCAGACTAATTTGCTTTGGAAGTAGTTCTGAAAGTAAAAGTAAATATTAACACTGAGATACAGTTATTCAGTAAGGTCAGCGTAATTTTAGGTGTGTAAGATGGACGCCTCTGATGATCTTCGGGTTCAATACATCGTGTCAATAAGGAAACTGCTAGGCTCAATTTTGAGCAGTCGAGGTAACTTTTATCAAACTAATCCTTGAAACGTCCAAGAGATATTCGTTTTGGGAGTGGTTTCTGCAAGGCAAGCCGGAATCAAAGACTATCTAATAGGAAAATTATACAAGATACATAAATAACTACAGTCAATGATCGGACCTGGACAGGCTAAAGAATGCAGCTTTATTCTCATTGACAGTTACCTGTTTTTG